ATGACCATCAATTTTTTAACAGAAAATGACGAATTTGAAATATATAAATAATCGTATAATCATTTTATAACTTTTTATAGTCGGAGGAACATATATGTAGTTTAGCCTTTTTTAAATAACAAGCGTTTGCCGCTCTTCATTAGTGAGACTACCGATCCTCGCTAAACACATACACAGTACACTCCTTTCAAAAGTCACCAAAAAAAGCGGCTGATCCTTCGGGGGGGGGGAAGACCCCTCTTCAGGTAGCATATATTGCCTTCAAATTAAGTGAAAACTTAACTCTCAACTCAAGGCCTTTCAGTCTCAGTTCAACTTCAATCTCTCTTTTTATTTAAACCATGCTTGTTTCTTAGAGTTTGCTTCATTGTCAAGCTGTTCTTGAGTTTCTTAGTCTTCAGTCTTTCCTCTAGTGTTTAGTTTGACCAAGAAGAAATGGATGAGAGAATAAGTGATAGTGATAAAATGGAAGAAGTCATGCTACCAGGGTTCAGGTTTCATCCAACCGATGAAGAGCTTGTTGGGTTTTATCTGAAAAGAAAGATTCAGCAGCGTCCTCTCTCAATAGAGCTGATTAAGCAACTGGACATCTATAAATATGATCCATGGGACCTTCCAAGTAAGTTAACCCTATAGGCTAAATCCATACTTGTTTTACAGTAAAACTGAAACTCTGTTAGATTGGAAACTGACGCTTGTTTCTTTTTTTTCTATCAAGAACTGGCAGCCACCGGGGAGAAAGAGTGGTATTTCTACTGCCCAAGGGACAGGAAATACAGGAATAGTGCGAGGCCAAACCGAGTAACCGGGGCTGGATTTTGGAAAGCCACAGGAACTGACCGCCCCATCTATTCGTCGGAAGGCACCACCAAGTGCATTGGGTTGAAGAAATCTCTTGTTTTCTACAAAGGTCGAGCAGCCAAAGGGGTGAAAACTGATTGGATGATGCATGAGTTTAGGCTACCATCTCTCACCGACTCTGCACCACCAAAGAGATACCTTGACAAATGCCTTCCTGCCAATGTAAACCATCGCAGAACACCCCCACCTTCTTTCAAACTTCTCTGTTTGTTTTTAACGTCAAAAAATACTCACGTTTAGTAAAATTGTTATTTTCACTCATATTCATTTTTTAAAATATTTTAACCTCAACATTTTATTCTAAGATAAAAAATCAAATCATTATAGATGTAAATTGTTAGTCAACATTTAATGTTAAGAAAAAGTCTCTTTTACCCTAAAATAGATACCAAAAACAAAATATTTCAAAACAAAAGTGACTATTAGTCAAATATTAGGAGTATTTTTGCCTTAAAATAAAACCTTAGAGCAAAATGTTTCAGAAAAAAAATGATGAGCAAAATGAGTATTTATCATGTTAGAAACAATTTTGAGATTATATCTCTTTTTACACTTATTTTTCTATTTTATTTATCAACTTTCTTTGAAAACTCTGGCAGGACTCATGGGCGATATGCAGGATATTCAAGAAAACTAACTCCGCAGCTCAAAGAACTCTTTGTCATTCGTGGGTCTCTCCGATGCCCGAAACATCGTCGATATCTGATATGGTTAGCAGAGGTTCAAACAGTTCTCAACTTTCTTCAGACAACATACTCTTGACAACAAAAGCCAGTTCATCACCTGTCCAGTTTAACCTTAACAACATCACCGATCTACCACAGACATGTTCTGCTGCTTTTTCTCCTTTAGACTTTGTCCCTTACAAGCCCATCATCAACCAGATGGCTGCAAAGAAGCTTCCTCAAGTACTTCCCATGTCCAATGGAGACCTAACCAGCCTTATTTTTGCACCTATCGATCAAACCTCACCGCCGGCGCGATCGGCAGTTGATGTTACTTCTTTGTTGCTAAACATGTCATCTTCCGCGCTTGGAGATTACTTTGATGGTGGATCACAAGATCATTGCAATGGCGGCTTCTCTTCAGGGGCTTTGCCCCATGAGACGCAAGGGAGCATGGTTATCAATAATGATGATCATTGCACTGTCACCCATGTTGATGATCAGTGGGATGTTGTTCGATCCATTGGATTTCCCTTCGGTTTGCCTTTTCCAATGAGTGTGGCGGACGCTTGGAAGCCAAGCATGCCTTGGGATTCTTCATGTTATAGTGAGATGTCAACAAGTTTTTCCTCGACCAAGTGTCACACTTGATGTACTTTACGAAGTGTGAAAACTTCTCCCGGTTTAGAAATCAACGTGTAGAATTGTGTTGTAGGCATATTAAATTGTTTCATTATTTTGAGAATGAAAGTTTTATTGTTTCAAGTAAAGGATAATTGTGCTTAAACACAATCAAATCAACTCTCTAAAATATTTATAAAAAATTAACGCTAACAAGGTTAATACTGAACCAACAACACTTACATATACTAACAATAAGTTGGTGTGGTAGAATATAAGGCACTATATCTCTTAAACAAGATTAGAGGTGTTAATCTTGATGTTGTGAATGAAATAATTAAATTAGTAAGTTACCCTCGTAATGGATCTTACAGTAATCGATCTAGATTAATCAATTAATAGGTAAGATATCAATGTGATTAAAAAAACATTACTTACATATGGATAATATTATCAAATACATTAATACATTTAAAACATTGGAATATATATGTCTACTTTATCATTATTTTCACTTTGCTTAGTTGTTTTGATAGAGATGTGAAATAGTATTATGGAAATTATGAAGCTTATATTTCATAAATTAAGTGGGATTTGATTAATAGATCCATAATTTTTGTCAAATTGTAACTTCAGATGTGATCAAGGTATATGGTATATACTATTTTTAATGGTTAAATGAGATTGTGGCTTTCGGGCTTAAACAGGCTGACTTATTGGTCTTATTATTAGTATTGAAGCCCAAATCTTAACCGAAGGCTATTTCATGAATATAATCATTTAAGACATATTCACAACTGATTACAAGTACATAGTAAATGAGGCCTCCAACTTTCATATTTTTTTGGAATTTCTCGAAGTTTTCAAAATTTCATATCTTCCCAACAATTATTTTCTTTTAATATGACGAATGACATGCCTACATAATCTACCAACTAATATCTGACAACTACAATTCCTTGATGTGCTCATTTGTGTTCACTACAAGGCAGAGCACCAACATACATGGTCACACAGCAATAGTTATATGGCATAAGTATTTAAGAAAAAAAGATTTCACTTTCTTGCTTTTTAGTTATTTCTTTTCTAGGATGTCATATTGGGAGACGTTTGAAGTGATAGATCGAACGGCAAGTTTCGTAGAAGAAGTTCAGTTTGTGATTCTTGCTAAGGTCGGATTAAAATGACAAGAATTGTTTAAAGCTGTTTTTTGGATCCTCTAGCGTGATAATTTCTTTGGCTTGGTCTGTGTTGTGTAATCTGTCAAATAGCGGCAGTATGTTTTTTGAAGTATTCTTTTACTGCCTTTACCGTTTCGTGATGTACTCTTTTTCTCCGACTAGACATAAGATAGTTTTATATGAAGCTCGCGATCGGTGTGAAATTTACATTAAATAAACACAAATTTGCTGAGGGAAAAAAAAGTATTGAAAGGGGATCAGTTTTGCCTAGAGACATGATTAAGCGGTCAGTTGAAGGGGAGCCTGAGCCTACCTATTTTGATGTTTTTGTTGAAATTGAGAAACGCAATGGACATCTGTGTCCCTTTCCTTTAGCTCTTAGAAGTAGTCTCTTTCTGTGAATTCTATTAAACTACCTCCAGATATCTAAACGAGTTGTCTCTTTCTATGGAGAAGATCCTACCATATGCATGCCACATACATGAGTGGTTGATGTTGTCAACAAATAGTTATAGACTTCCTAGTGTCTGCATAATGTCAATACTGTCTGTACCAATACGGATTCTGAACAACATAATTGGAGTTGGGGTGTGGGAGAAGAGTCTGTCTAGTCATCATCTCCCTTGTAAATCTAACGTAAATACGTGTGTTGGTTTTCTTCTCCAACAGAACCCTATTTTATATCAAGACGCCGGTCCATGTGGACCATCAATATCCAGGCAACTAAATATTTGGACCGGCTTTAGGGTCTGGGTTCCTAAGTCGTGACAATGATGATATCGCACCCCCTTCTCCATGCAAGATGTACTGTTTGTATATAAAAAATTTGAGCCCATCCATGTTTTGTTTTATCTTTTAAGGCTGCCAAAAAGAAAATGCACCTTGTCGTTAACAAGTGGATCGGTTAAAGTTTTGACAACTAAATAAATTATATTATATTCCACAAACGTAATTAATAAAATAATACATGAATATTTTTAAAAGGAACTCTTATTATAAGCTCTAATTAATTAGAATTAGAAACTTTGGTACGCTGCTTATGATTATGCACTTTCGTTAAGTTAACTAAACGCAGAAAAGGAACGCGGGCTGAATTCAAAGTACTATTTTATTGCACCTAACCTTCCATTCATCAAACCCTGTTTACCTTTAAAGATCAGCTAACATATGAAAACAGACCGGTTTATATTAAATGAGAACAAATATATCCAATAATATAGGACTCGATTAAGCAACTTGAACAGTAAAAGAAAATATTATTCTCATGATTGAGCGAATTTAATAGTAAAAAAGAAAAATTATTCTTCTTATAAATCTCACCTTTAAGCAATTACAATGGATGTGTCTTCATTGTCAAAAGGTTAATAAAATCATGAAAAGATATAGTCTTCAGATTAGTAAGGAACTAGAGATAGAGCCATTATTTGTGAACAATACAAACATACAGCAAAGAACAAATATTTTGCTTCAAAATAAGGAATTCTCCATTGAATAAATGAATGAAAGTCAACAGTACCATACGCATAGGACCTATTTATCCTATTTGATGATACCCAGAATTAGGGGGGAACCAGCAGTTTTTGGACAGATTATAAGAAAATGGAAGAATCTTAAAAGCAACATAAACAAGAGATAATGAGAAGGAAGAGAAAGGGAACGATCAACTCAGAGGTAGAGGACAAAGAATTTATGTTATAATATGTCTAAAGATCAATTAACAATGACAAATTAAATCTCTTTAACTGTCATCCGTACAAGTCATATCCTCTGTTTACTTCCTCTTTCATCTGCCATCACTAGTAATTCCTTTACTAATCAGAAAAAACAACATAAAATAACAAAAGTTAACCCCCACAAATGTAACAGAGCAGCAATAATACCTATCATATTTCGCATTCTTTTTTCGCCTGAATTAAGAAGCAGAAGACCCTTTATCAACAGCATTGCCATTCTCTTGATTGTTATTCTTGTTGTCGAGAAGATTGAGATTACCAACTCCTAATATATCTTTTATGTTAAAACTGTTCTTGTTGTTGTGCATCCAAACCTTGAAAACACCTCTATCAACCCCAACTTCATAGCAAAACTCTTCTATCTGTCTTTCTTTACTCTTTTGCATTCTCCAACCAAGCCTCTCAGCAAAAGCATGCATCTTTTCTTTCTGTTCCTTGCTAAACTTTGTTCTTGACCTCTTTCTCCCACTTGGGTGGTTGTTGTTGTTGTTGTTGTTCTTTATCCTTGGGTTGGAGTTGCCGAGGTGATGATGGTACTCAATCAAGGCCGGCAGCATGTGCCGTGGTGCAGAAGTGTAGTAAGAGTATGGCACAGGTGAGGGTGGGGTAGGGCTATGGGTTGGGCTTGGACTAGAGCTACCATTAGGCGGTGGTGGCAAGCGGTGGATGAAAGCAGGGTCACGGCGGTGGAAGTTGCGGTGGCAGCCACAGGCGGCACATTTCAAGGAGGAGGGGTCGGTTGGGGTTGCAGAAGGGCTAGGCATGAACTCTCCGCAACCGTCGAGGGCATGTCCACCCAAACTAGCTGCATGGTTTTTGAGGCACTCTTTGTAGGATAGTACCATTGCTTCATAAAAAAAATGAGGACTAGTCTTGTGGAAATGGGCGGTTTTAATGTTGATTAGCTCCATTTGTTAAAAGGGGTGATTGATGGCTTGACGTGATGAATTAGGAAGGGGTGGGGAACTTACCTTTTTGTGGGTTTATGCCTTTGAGTTTATGGGTGTGAAGATAAAGACAAGAAAGCTTGATTGTGAGGTTAATTATGATGATGTGCATGGCAAAGGTGATTATGGTGGTTATAATGAGAACTGTCATTCATTATATAGCTACAAAGGAGCTAATTAAGCAACAAAAATTTAAATTACAGAAGAAAGGGAGGACAAATGTCATCAAAGAATTTAAGTTGAACCACTAGTCACGTTCCCTTTGCACTTTCTTTAAATTTTCTTAACCCAATTAAGGTGTGAGTTGGTTATGAGCAGTAAATAATACTCTATCCAGTAGGGGAGTACCAAAACACCAGAGAGCTCTGCCAACAGGCATCTTCATGTTGACTAGGTTTCTTATGATACCGTTATGCTTTGAAAAGGGCAGTCCATTGCATGTCTTGGTTTACAACCCAAGCAATGACTTGTATTAGTGCTCAAGATTCGCAGGATGGAGTCGATTGGCAATTAACTTACCAACGTTTTTAATATTAAAGAAAGCCTTAATATAAAAGGCTTAATTAAGTATAGAAAACGTACTCAATCTATTTCCCTTTTTCTAGTTTAATGCGTAACGTTTTATTCTGTGAAACAAAATGACTCAAGCCGTAACAGATCGTTAAGTTTGAGAGTTAATCCATTAAAAATGACACCTAACATATTTTAAATACTAAAAAATAATTTATGAAAACAAGAAATTAATTAAAATAAAAAAATGAGACCTTATTTAATTTTTAACTGTTGTAAAAACATGATTTAGGGTTTGCAATCTTTCCCTCTCTTCCCCTTCTCCATCATTTTTCTAAAAAAGAATTCAAGAACCCTAAATCAGTTCTCAGAATCCGCAGGCAGGGAGTGAAGGATGTCAAGTGGAAGTTTAAGGCCTCGTTACGGTTTTAGGGTCGTGAAATGTAATTGTGGAATGAAAGCTTCCATTAGCATTTCTAATAAGCCGTGGAGTAAAAGGAAAAAAAAATTATGGGTGTTGTCAAGTGAAACAGGTAAGTTCTGATTTTGTAAGAAATGTTTAGGGTTTGTTGACTTCTTTGCCTAATTATTTCTTTACTTATTGATTTAATTTTTTATATGTTGCAGAATCGGTGTAATTTTTTCTAGTGGATAGACAAGGAACCAGACAATGGATGTATTGATGAAGATTTGAAATTTCAATCGGAAATGTTGATGATCGAAAATAGGAATCTGAAAAATGAAAACTAACAATTGAAGGAAATTGTAAAATCATATGAAGCAAAATGTGCAAAGAGGACATATGCTTTATTCTATAAGATATCATTCTTTACTTCTTGGATAGTGTACTTCATAGTGAAATTTGGTCTTTAGATGAAGAATGGTATGACAATTGTTATGTGCAAAGAGGAGGAAAGTTGTTATGTTTATGTGTTTCTTGTAATGTTGGTGTACTTGAAGGAAACTGTAGTTGTTGTAATGTTGGCATGACAATTGTTATGTTAAAAGATAATAAAAGTTTAAACTGTTGCTATGGAAATATTCTGTTTTGGGTATGGAAATTGAATGTTACCATACGTTTATATTGCATTTATACATAATTTTTTATTGAACATGGGTATATAAATTGTTGGAAAGTTATATGAGCAAAAGTAAATGTTTCATATATTTAAGTGAAGTGAACATCCCAAATAGTTTCATATAGCATTCATCAAAGTGAAATGCCCAAAAAGTTGCATATATATAAACAAACTGAACTTTCAACTTTCCAAATAGTTCACATGACTAAACAAATTCAAATGACCAATTTCATGTGAATAAAGACAATGCAACACAAAACACAAAAGAAATAGAAACTTCATTCTAAGGTCTAAATCGTTGGTTTAGGGAGAGGCCTTTTGATGGTAAGCTTTGGCAATCTTACTTGTGGATCAATGTTGGAAGTTTTAATTGAAGGTGACTGAGAAAATGTAGAAAGTGGTGGTGATGTTGTACCACTTGAAATTTGCATCCTGGCTGCAACAGATGGACTTGTGTTAGGTCGAGAAAGAAGTACTTGACTTGCTCTTCCTGGCTATTAAATGAAAGAAAATATCATAAGCACATAATTTTTATAAATTTTTTATTAAAGTTGTTTAGAATTAGAATTACTTAAATTTAAAATTTGCAATCATGTTACTTCGTTTGTGTACATGTCAATTCCTTGTATGATTGTTCTGCCCATTGTCCCATGTGGTGTAACATGATCTCTAGAGGGAAGGGGTATTCTATTTTTTTGTCACCTTATTCTTTCTAGGTGTAGAGGTTGTAGGTGGTTGAACAATTGGAGTAGGCATAAACCTTATTTGTGGAGAAGTTGTTGTTGATAGTGGTGGATCTTGTGGTGTTGAAGCAGGGGGTGTTGAAGTTGATGGTGTAAAATTAGGGGGTTTAGAGGATGTTCGTGTAGAAAGAGAGGTTTTAGTGACGACTGGTGTAGAAAGAGGGGGTGTAGAGGCTGCTGGTGTACAAAAATGTGGTGTTGAAGCAGTCTCTATTGAAGTTGCCACTGGTGATACTTGGTTTTCGAAAAAATACAATAATTACATTACATAGTCATCTAACTATTAAATTAAAGAAAAATAATGAAAAACCAAATTAAACTTACATTATATTGGGGTTTTCAATACTTTTCACTTGGAATACTAGGAAGAACAAAATTGTACAATGCTTGATAAATCTCAGTTTTATACAGATTAAGTACATATAATTCCAATTGTTTTTTCTATAGAGTGTTACACACACAACATGAGGGCATGGTATTTCTGTGAGATTTCACACTCTAAAAGTGCATTTCCAGTCCCTAACATCAACTACAAATATGTCCTCATTTTGTAAAACTTCATACCCTTTAGCCCTATTCTTGATGAGATGGAAGACATAACTCAATTCCTTATGTTCTTCCAATTTTTTTTTTTTTGCAATCATATGATATATGTCACCATTCCACCTAAGTGACTTCTTCTTGTGATCAACAAGTTTGTGCATCTCATAGTGCCTAATATCCTCTAACATAGAAATTGTTGACTTAAATTTAACCCCTAAAATGACATAATTGAAAGCCTCTAAAAAATTATTGTTTACAACGCACACTTTGATCTAGTACTAAAAAAATGTTTTAGATGAATACCTAGGATGCCTAACCATCAGATCATCATATGTAGCTTTTTTTAACTTACCAATTCTATTAACATTGTGTTCAAAAATAGTTTTTGTCAAGCCTTGAGACAAGCCCAAAACAACAACTGAAGATTACCTCTTTTGTGGCTTTTTTTTTCCAGTTGACATAAAAAAGCCTAAAACAAAATATGTGCTACACATTTGGTAAACACAAAGGGACCTCTTCCAGCAAGCCCTACAAAAGAAAAAAATAGAATTAATGAGTTAAAATAATGTAAATGTTAGGTACCTATATGAAAATAATTAGATAAGGTTGGACACCAAACTAAAAAAATAATTAAAGGTTGGGCACCAAAATGGAATCGAGTCAAAGGGTGGGTACAAAAGTGGAAAACAATTTTTACCTTCTATATGTCACTGAGAAAAGTCACATTCTCTTCATCTCCTGGATTCAAATCAGTTTGAAGGTTTTCAAAAACCATGTCCAAGTCTCCCTGTTTTCTACCTCTACCATAGCCCAAGCAATAGGAAATATCTTATTGTTGTTGTCTCTTCCCACAACAGACAGAAGTTCACCTTGGAATGCACCTTTCAAATAACATCCATCTATTCCTATAAGATTCCTACAATAATTCTTAAAGCAATCCTTCAAAGCACTAAAACAAACATATAGCCTCCTAAATTTGGGATTCTCAACAGGAGTAGGTTTAACAACCACAAAATCAAAAGTATCCTCTGGATCAACAGTCTTCAATGTATCCACATAGTCATATAATCTACTAAATCCATGTTCAACATTATCCCTAATCTGTTGCATTTCCCAACTCCTAGCTCTTGTGCAACATTGTTTGCTCAACTCTACATGTAACTTCTCTCTACCAAGCTTCATCATCTATCTCAATTTAAAATTAGGAACAATCCTAAGCTTCCCAAGAAAATATTATCCTATCAACTTAAAATTATCTCTTTGATTCTTAAGTGTTACAGAACATTATTGTTCGGTTACTAGAGTTTTAACTCTAAAAAATCATAATCCCAAGAGGTATATATCAGAAATAGAAACCCTTTACTCTTACACACAACCCTAATTGTTTTTCCTATTTGCTTAATATTTGAAATCAAACCTATGAGTTATTACATAAGCAAACAAAGCATCCTTTAACTATTTTTTATTTTCAAAAGTCATTCCTAATTCAAATCTAGGTTCATCGTTTAAAGGATCAAAGAACAACTTACCAGTCTTCTTAGATAAAACAAATACCCATCTGAATTAATATCATAATTCCCAACATCTGAAAAACGGTTACTCCGTAAATTTGTCTCATTTCCCTCCCCAACATCTAAATTAACAAAAACTTCTAAGTCCGATGCAGTGATAATTCTTTTTTTTTATCTTCATTTTCATTGACTTGAAATTGTTTCTAATGGAGTTTATCTCCTCCTCCTCATCATCAGATAAGGGACAATATCCACCTAATTCTTCACTCTCTTCTTTAGTATCATAACTCAAGTCATTACTATCTTCATCTACCAACCCATCAATGCTAACAAGCCCAATAGGCCCACTGCCAGTATTTTCACTACCCTCCAAAGTCATCTTCTGAATTTGAATAAACTAAAAAATGCAATACATTAAATATAAATAATTAACAAACCAAAAATTTTTTTTTCACAATTACCAGTCCAATAAACACATGAGATTAACAGTGAATTTTAACCAATATGCGTTATATTTGTCATTACGGTCAACAAAGTTATATTCTTTAACACATTTTTCTCACAATCACCAGTCCAACAAAA